GATCATATACAGTCGAACATGTTTATTGCTCTCAGGTACTCTACGAGGCGGTCAACATTATAGCTACCGTGTTCTGGTTGGGCCAAAATACTTTTTAGGTGTGTGTCGGGGTCGTTTTGGCTTAGATGGGGGAAAAATTGCCGTCAAGGTATTAGAAGTTTCGCTTATTACCACTTTATGGTAAAATGGCTATGGCTATGGTAAAACTCATAGCCATTCAAAACTGTTCGATACGACCAAGATTTATTTAAAAAATACAGGGTTTCATTTATTGATAGTTGAGGTTTTGAAATGAGAGAAGAACCTATATTGTGTCACATGACATTATAAGACGGTGAACTAAGTAGTTGAGTCTGAGTAATAGACCTAAATAATAGATTTAAGTTTTGAAATTATGTCGGTAAAGGTGGAACATTCTAGCTAGCATGTAGCAAATCTTTTCAAAACACATCATTTGTGAATAAATCATTCTCTATTCCAGACAACTCGCTAATTTCGATGTCCAAAAAACTGTTTGCGGTTCACTCACATTTGTTTTGAGATCTCAATAATTACGACCTGTTCCACTTATAAATCAACTAAATTTACTTTCTAAGCCGCGATACATTGTAGGGGGCAATTATTTAAAATGCATTTTATTACGTAATATTGTAGTAATAAAAAACAATAAAATGTAAGTAAATAATAAAAACTTATAGCTGTTTGCTTATTGCAAACAAAATAGGTACGTATCATAAAAAATAAAAGATGATAAAATAAAATCGAATGAAGACATAAATAAAATGACAAATAGAAGAAAATATCACAACAACTCTAATAGAAAAAGTATGTACCGAATTTGCCAGTCGTTTGAAAAAAATTAATGCCCACAACATGCCCACAATCAACAGACATTTCTGTTTCAGAGAAGGCAAGTTAATAAGAAAAAATCAGTTTAGTACAAAACAATGTGTCCTGAAGTAAAAAGCAGCACCCGAAGGACAAAATAATATTAGGAGCGTGCAAGGTGAAGCTAAAATGAGCCACCAGTTGTTGCAGTACAAAGCAGGGGGTTTGAGAGACGATCACAGCAGTTATTAGGAGGAAGAGAGATAAAGCTAAAATGAGGCACCATTTGTTGTTGTAGAAAGCAGGGGGTTTAAGAGACGATTACAGCAGTTATTAGGAGGAAGAAAGAAAAAGTTAAAATAAGGCACCAGTTGTTGTTGTAGAAAGCAGGGGGTTTAAGAGACGATCACAGCAGTTATTAGGAGGAAGAGAGATAAAGCTAAAATGAGGCACCAGTTGTTGTTGTAAAAAGCAGGGGGTTTAAGAGACGGTCAGCAGCGTCAGTCGTGGCGCTGAGGGGCGCTCGTGTTGCTGTTGTCGACGTGGGCGTCGTTGAAGAGATGCGCGACCTCGAGCCCTGTGGCGATCTCCAGCACGAGGGAGTGCAGCGCCGGGTGGCCCAGAACCTCTCCTTCAGGCAGGCTAGGGGAGCAGCGCGGGTACTGGCTGCCTCCCTGTCACAACACAGAATCAGAAATCCCCCCACGTATAATATACATAACCATACAAATATTGCACCAAATTCTCACTTAAGGTAATTGCATATCAAAGTTAGTAGATCAACGTATCAACAGAAAACTAGAGGCACTTATTGATGTTAATGGACTCTATACCAATTATTTTACAAAATGAGGTTGATATCAAGCGCCTCAAACGGTTATGGATGTAATACCTGTATCAAGATCCAAGCGAGAGCAATATTCATAAATTGTACATGCTAGTATTCATCACTGATGATGAAAAGATTGATAGAATTTTTGATTAATTTGAGACCTTGAACGCTCGGTGAGCTCTCAGGACGGTGGCGCAGAAAATGAATCGCAATGTAAGCAACCTCAAGAAGTCGTCACTGAAGAACTGGATATAAGCAGGATCTGTAAAACAATTGAGAAAACACCAAGATTACTCTGAACCAAGCCACGGTGGTATAAAAAAAAAATTAACAAACAGATACGTACATTCTCGGTTTCATTTTCCATCCAAATAGCGCCACACAACGGCACGGTATTTCTATCATGGAACATATGTATGAAAACAAATGAAATTCCAGGACGGACGTTGCTACAAACTCACCAACATTGCGCGATGAACAGCTTTAACACGGACGGACGTTGCTACAAACTCATCAACAGCTTTAACATGTTAAAACTCAGCCCAAACTCACCATCAACAGCTTTAATAGCAACGGACTAAAAAGGAGAAAATAAAATACTTCAAAACTAAAAAGTAGAAAATAAAATGTATAAAAAAAAATTTTTAAAGACCACGTTTTTCATGTGGACTCAAAAGTAGAAAATAATTTTTCGGCAGCTACTGATCTCTGCTTGCTTTCATTCTCTTGGTCTTTTTACAAGCCTAGACGCCTCAGCAATGAAGCGGTCGACGAGGGCCTGACATTTCTCCCAGAGCAACATAGGGACGTCACACACGGAGCTCACCAGGCACAGCCCCATCAGGGGGCAGTGTAGGAACAGAGTGAACAGATTGCCCCGCTGGTGCTCTTCTGCATGCCCAAGAATTACGTTAGTGAGAAGCGATAGAAATGGTGTGAAATGTGAATATTGATAAATTAAACAGTAGTAATCAATTAATTATTAATTAACAAAAATAATTAAATGCATTGATTGTGATCATATTTTTAAGTTGACTAATTTTAATTTTGATATATACAAGTATGGTTCTTCAATTGAAATCAACAAATAATAATGATAGTGGTAGTAGTAGTAGTAGTAGTAGAATGGTTTGGTAGCGCTTCAGCTATCAAGCTATTTCGCACCAAAGGTCAAACGATAACATTACCAGCAAGACAGAAGGTCTCAATTATTCAAAATCTCAAGTTAATCATCACCCACAGGGGGCGGAAGGTCTCAATTGTCCAGCCCGCTGAAGCCGGCTCGAAAGAAACAGCATTAGCATCTCAAAGAGACGAAGTGACAAGGAGGGACAGGTGAAAAGCAACAGAAACTAAGACACTCGAACAAGAGGTCGCTTACACGGGACACCGGCCGCCCGCGCGAAAGAGACAGAGAAGGAAAATGTAATGAATGCTACATAATAACTCAACCCCACAACCGAGAAACGCAATCAGAAATTGTGAGCCCCAGGAACAATGCCCCTGGAAACAAGAAATCACATGGGACTTCTGACGAGCAGACACGCGTCAGAAGTCCCCTCTGAGGTGACATGATAATAAACAGAGAAGATTTCGAGTAGGGAAGCCCAAATGAAAATCTAAACAGGCGCTGTTGCAAACGAAAATTTTTTAGACAATAGTTTATTTCTGGTTTGCTTTTCTACTTCAAGATTTCATTCAATTTCTCATGTATGTTAATGCTGATGTGTACATGAAACTTAATGGTTGATTCTACTTATAGGACTCAAATTTACTCAATGAGGAAGTTTTCTAAAAATTTCTTTTGTTCGCCACTTTGGTGAGTCGGCTACCATGGAAATGATGGGGCGAGTCCTGTGGTGACATTAGCACTACGAGCGGCTGGCCGAACATGGGAGCAAGGTTGCCGAAGACGCTGCTGTTGTCGGAGTCGACCAGCACGAACAGCGGCTTGCGGGTGAATGAGTTCAGGTCGCCAGGGAAGAAGCAATGAAGATCTCGTAGCATCACGCCACCACCAGCGCTGTCGCCTGCATACATCACAAATTAAAAAATTAAACAAATTAGGATTGATTAAAATATTAGTTATTTAAAAATTATTTCGTACATTTTTTCAAGCATCAAAAAAGTAGTCAATCAAAATATAGGTATATATACTAGGTTATCAAAAACGAACAGCACAATTGAAAATTCAAGGAAAATATTGTCATCAAATTTTAATTTGATCAAATCGAGATTCTTTCTCAATGATACCTTCGCCAAACATTCTTCTAGAGCTTGTATCCCATCATTATGGAAACTTGGAATAAGTAAGTACAATAGAGAGGATATAAATGAAGGTAAGCAAACTACCTTATTTCAGAATTCGCACCTTATCTATGATTTGTGATTTTAAATAAAGTTTTGCTTGAGAAAAACCACATGGCAAAATAGTTACCAGATTTCTGCAAAATTCAAGAATTACCAATTTTAAGACAACTTCTGATGTGATTCGATAACAACAATATTTCATATGGACCATGCTGACACAAACATAATATGAAAAAAAAACGTTCCTCACCTGTTCTCTTGTTATTATGTTGCTGCATAATTAGCTGCTGCTGCTGCTGTTGTTGTTGTTGCTGCTGCTGCTGGTTGTGATGGTGGTGGTGATGGTGATGCTCCGAGTCGCGTTTGCTGTTCGTCACCACACCACCATAGTCAAAGCCACCTTCAGAAAAAAATCATCAAAAACTAAATTATATGACTCAGGCTAAGCAGTTATTGCTTTCGAAATAAATCAAAAGTCAATACTATAAGAACTAAACCAAAAAAATCTAGAATAATTTTACTGAATAACACACTGTAGTGCCGTTTCAAGCAAGCTCTAACAAAAATATTTTCAAACATTTTAATAAAATGCTTTTCAGTAAGAACTACGAAGCTTTGCAAAAGAGTACTTCATGCTTCACATTTAGATATATTTTTACCGTTTGCTACTGAGTATTTATCTAAACATTTTCCTCAAAATTAGGGAGAAGATCGGAGAACATTTTAGACTTGGTCATCAAGCAAATAATGAATGTGAAGAAGAGTGAACAACCCACCGTCCTGAGGATGCTTGGTGTTGGCGAAGGCTCCATCAGCAGAGATGTAGAGGAGCATGACGCCGTTGGCGGGCAGCTCCTTGAAGCCTGACGACAGGAACACTAAAAGCTGCGAGAACGTGGGCTTGTACAGCAGGTACTTGTGGGGGTTCTCGCGCTTGTTCAGGCGTGTTGACGCGTCACCGTTCTGAAATTAATTCTACATAAGGTTCGGTAATAAATACGCCTGGAAACGTGCAACAAATTATTGATTATTGTATTGTTATCGGTAGCTGAGCTTCCCTAAAAGTTTCAGAGCGCGGGAAAGTTGGTGAAATATCGATTGCAAGATTTGATCATCACAGACAGAGGGACACGAAAGCGAGCTAAGAAAAACGTGGTAAAAACAGCGATGAACAGCTTTAATTCCAGGACGGACGTTGCTACAAACTCACCAACATTGCGCGATGAACAGCTTTAACACGGACGGACGTTGCTACAAACTCACCAACAGCTTTAACATGTTAAAACTCAGCCCAAACTCACCAACAACAGCTTTAAAAACAGCGATGAACAGCTTTTTTTCCAGGACGGACGTTGCTACAAACTCACCAACATTGCGCGATCTGCTTACAAGCCTAGACGCCTCAGCAATGAAGCGGTCGACGAGGGCCTGGCATTTCTCCCAGAGCAACATAGGGACGTCACACACGGAGCTCACCAGACACAGCCCCATCAGGGGGCAGTGTAGGAACAGCGTGAACAGATTGCCGCGCTGGTGCTCTTCTGCATGCGCAAATATTACATTAGTGAGTAACAATAGCAATGGTGCGGAATGTGAATATTGATAAATTACACATTAGTAATCAATTAATTATTAATTAACAAAAATAATTAAGCTCATTGATTGTGATCTTGTTTTTAAGTTGACTAATTTGAATTGTTATAAATACAAACATGGTTCTTCAATTGAAATTAACACATAATAATGATAGTGGTTGTCGTAGTAATAGTAGTAGCAGTCAATAGTTTGCTAGCGCTTCAGCTATCAAGCTATTTCGCACCAGAGGTCAATTGCTGCTGGTTGTGATGGTGGTGGTGATGGTGATGCTCCGAGTCGCGTTTGCTGTTCGTCACCACACCACCATAGTCAAAGCCACCTTCAGAAAAAAATCATCAAAAACTAAATTATATGACTCAGGCTAAGCAGTTATTGCTTTCGAAATAAATCAAAAGTCAATACTATAAGAACTAAACCAAAAAAATCTAGAATAATTTTACTGAATAACACACTGTAGTGCCGTTTCAAGCAAGCTCTAACAAAAATATTTTCAAACATTTTAATAAAATGCTTTTCAGTAAGAACTACGAAGCTTTGCAAAAGAGTACTTCATGCTTCACATTTAGATATATTTTTACCGTTTGCTACTGAGTATTTATCTAAACATTTTCCTCAAAATTAGGGAGAAGATCGGAGAACATTTTAGACTTGGTCATCAAGCAAATAATGAATGTGAAGAAGAGTGAACAACCCACCGTCCTGAGGATGCTTGGTGTTGGCGAAGGCTCCATCAGCAGAGATGTAGAGGAGCATGACGCCGTTGGCGGGCAGCTCCTTGAAGCCTGACGACAGGAACACTAAAAGCTGCGAGAACGTGGGCTTGTACAGCAGGTACTTGTGGGGGTTCTCGCGCTTGTTCAGGCGTGTTGACGCGTCACCGTTCTGAAATTAATTCTACAGCTTTACATAACATTACAAACTATTTTATCATCATTTCAGTGAACAGAAGTGAAACTAATTCATTCATTTGGGATGCAATAGCTATTTAAAAATTTTCTTAACATGAATTTGTTTCAGAAGAAATAGTCAAACTAATTTTTGATATTGTATGCACAAGTCAGACCTGGCATAGTATATATAATTAAATGCAGACAAGGAGTTCACGCTCATAACTTACGTAGGGAATCTTGCCAGGTGCAGGGGGTGCATCATAGAGCTGAGCCACATCCTCTAGTGACTCGCGCTCCAGAGTTTGCAACATTCGGAACATGTCGATTGTAAGCTCACTGAACTTTACCTGTGCGCAATAAATGACAATTCTATGAATGAAATGAGGTAAATTTTAACCCATTAGGTACATTTTATTTTACCATGTCAACATCAAAAGAAACCAATTCCACCAATTCATTTAAATAAATTAAAAGATAATTTCTTACCTGGTCATTGCAGTTGCCCACTATGAGGATTTCCTGTACATTGAGAGTGAGAGGAGGAGGCTTCTCTAGCGGTGGAGTGCTGTGGGAGCTCAACCTAGAACAAGTAATTACAATTTAGTGGTAAAACCATATAAAGCTGGTGTGATTAACAGAGTAAAATCTACCTATTAAAATAGGTTTTTCAACACATAAAAAAGTTTACAAATATAAAATTTAACAACCAACGTGTCTTTAGGATCAAAATTCTTCAAATTGTTTGTTTCTGTGGTTTTATATAATTTCAACTGACTCAATATACTGATCATATATAAATCTGACTGCTTCAAGTAATATCACCAGGTAAATAAATAGGATTCAAGTGACCTGTGTGAGAGCACAATAGTGTTGGAGTCCATGTCAAGCACATTTATTGCATTATCAGCATCTATGAAGGAGCGGATCTCTCCCAGAACCAAGGACCACTCCAGCTGGTCTTCAGGTGCATAGGTGCTGGCATACTCTTCTATTTGGTGACTCAACTCCTGCAAAATACAATAGAGCTCAATAACTTAAGTAGGTATAATGTGGCCTGGCAGTCAAGTTTCATTACTGGCAGGAAAACATTTTTTGGCTGCAAAATCAGCTGATGGTGGCCAATATTTACCTTGAAAAGATCATGGACAAGTTTCATTACAGGCATCACAACATTTCTTGGTTGTAAAATCAGTAAAAGGTGGCCAATACTTACCCTGACAAGATCACGGACAAGTTTCATTCTCTTCAGCAAGAGGCACACCACAATGAATCGAGCATAATAGCGGAGTTTCTTCACCATCAAGTCAGAGCCCCTGCAGATTTCAAGAATTACGGTATATGCAAATTTCTAAGGCTTCATAAGTTTTCATAATAAGGCAGGCAAAGTACCTGCTCTGAAAAGTTGCAAGTCAGGGGAAATATATATATGTACATGTACGGTATATATGTATTGTTCTACTAGTTTGAAATGAAAAAATCTTGTATTAAAATAAAGAAAAAATTGAAATTTGTACCTTAAATTTGGGAAGAACATATGCATTTTCCAGTTGTTTAAAAATTAATCATTCATGACATATGTAGTACTATTAGGTACTACTCTTATTTGAGGACACATACAAGCAATTAATGACTAAAGTTTGTCTGCTGAATAAAAAATGTGCCTTATTCCCTTTTCCTTATCTGACATCATATAATCTCCTGAAAAAAAACCTTACCGGTCATCTTTGTTTGTCCGACTGTAGTATGCTCGACCCCGAATTGCTGCATAAAAACTGAAGGCTTCATTGAGATAATTGGTCTCACTTGTCCGCAGGCTGCACAGTAATGCTCAAGATGTATATATAAATCATGTGTGATGTCTGAGTCAGAGTCAGAAATATATACAGGATTTAATAACAAAGATACAACACAGAAATTGGATTTTCCATGGTTGTGAGTTGCACGGTAAACAAAAACTCATCTGAATGAAATTTTGGAATACAGGTAATGCATTAATGTAGCAGATAATCATTAAACTCACTAATAATGATAGTAGAGTTGTCCAATTTTTGAGGCAATCTCTCCAATCTGCCACCTTTTCAAACCATACTTTGAATCTAGTATTTGCCGATGCTGCTGCTGGAACTTCCATAGCTTTGTGTAGATGTCAAAAGTTCTACCAAAATATGCCTGCCACTGCTTATGGCCATACTGTGGGAGATCTCTGAAAAAATACATATAAAAAAATTTAAATAAATATAATAGAAGTTTAAGATAAAATATAGTCTTGTAGACTGGAAATTAAACAATATAAAATACCAATACTTGACTTGACTGATGAGTATTAAAAAATAGCTACCAGTGATGAGCACAAAAATATCTATACATTTATACATGCATATAAACAAATGGTATATATTACCTATATATAAATAGACAGGATTGGAACTTTTCTAATTATTACAGAAATTTTGCAGCTATAAAGTGACAAATTTTCAATACATTTGGAATCTCCTATCCTGCTTGGACCCTTTTGTTAACAATTAGATAGGATGTACTTCATCTAGTGGGAATTTTACAGTTTCATAAATGGTTGAAAATCTCTAGTCGCAGCTTGAAAGGTGGATCTACATACTTTATACGTATACGGTGGATCTACATACTTTCACACGTAAGATATAGGTAGTATTTTGAGAAGGGCATTTGTTTTATGTGTGATGGTGATGAGATGGAAACTGGATTTACTTAATGGTGGCATAGTGCCAAGTGGCAACTGGCAAAGCAGAGTTTTTTACTCTCCTTCAAGTTCAATTTTAAGTCAGGACTATAAGTAGACCAGCAAAGTATCATGGAAAGCAGCATCATCACACATAAGATATTGGTTTAAATCTTAAGTAAATGACAAAATTAAAAATGAATTGATTCTACAAAATCACTGGTTTGTCACTATGATATGGTAGAACCTGGGCCGTTTGAAAGAAAAAAATCAGTAGGACTCTTCCCATCCCAATTTACTTAGAAAATTTGACAGAACACATAAGCCATCCCTGGATTGGACAAAAATGCATGCAAAGGTAGATCTGGCAAATTTTACCCATTCCATTGCTATAAAATTTATTGAGATATGCCCTTTTTCCAATTTCTTCAGTAAAATTAATAAAAATATATTTTTATTAGCAATTTTTGAAATTGACCCTGAAAACAATTGATTTTACACTCAATTTTAAGAAACTTCTGCCCAATATTAAAAAAAGGTTTCAATCTTGAACTAGACAACATGACAATAGATCAATGTGAATATCAATGTCACTGATTCAATGTGAATGTGTAATCAAAAATCAATCCATGATATTAGGCCTACCGTCAATGCCACTAAAGTCGCCACCTCACTAAAGTCGCCATGCTACAGGGGAAAAGAAATATTTATTGAAATGGACCCAATACGAACATTTTGAAACCTGCTTTTCGATCTCCCGACGCCAGCAAGAAATTTGGTTCGACTCATTGAAAAAACGAACAAGAAGATTGTTAATAAAAAGCATGCTCTGGTCTTCAATCAAACTTGCATAAGAGAAAAGCTTCTGCCTAACTACACCAAATATATATATATATACAAATAAACAAATGGTATAGACAGGATTGGAAATAGACAGGATTGGAAATTTTTTAATTATTACAGAAATTTTGCAGCTATAAAGCGACAAATTTTCAATACATTTGGAATCTCCTATTCTGCTTGTACACTTTTGTTAACAATTAGATAGGATGTACTTCATCTAGTGGGAATTTTACAGTTTCATAAATGGTTGAAAATCTCTAGTCGCAGCTTGAAAGGTGGATCTACATCATACATGGTACTTTATATATAGGTAGTATTTTGAGAAGGGCATTTGTTTTAAATTTATGTGTGATGGTGATGAGATGAAAACTGGGTTTACTTAATTGTGGCATAGTGCTAAGTGGCAACTGGCAAAGCAGAGTTTTTTACTCTCCTTCAAATGCTTCAAGTTCAATTTTAAGTCTGGACTATAAGTAGACCAGCAAAGTATCATGACAAGCAGCATCATCACAAATAAGATATTGATTTAAATCTTCAGCATCATCACACATAGTGACAAACCACAGATTTTTTAGAATCAGTTCATTTTAAATTTCATCATTTACTCAAGATTTAAACCAATTTCTTATGTATGAAACTGCAGGTATCCAGGATACTTAACTGGTCTACATATAGTACTCAAAAATGAACTTGAGGGAGAGTCTAAAAAAACTCTCTGCTTTGCCACTATGTCATCACACATAAGATATTGGTTTAAATCTTAAGTAAATGATAAAATTAAAAATGAACTGATTTTACAAAATCACTGGTTTGCCACTATGATTAGTGTGGGCCGTTTAAAAGAAAGAAATCAGTAGGACTCTACCCAAGTTCCCATCCCAATTTAGAAAATTTAACAGAACACATAAGCAATCCCTGGATTGGACAAAAATGCATGCAAAGGTAGATCTGGCAAATTTTACCCATTGCTATAAAATTTATGGAGATATGCCCTTTTTCCAATGTCTTCAGTAAAATGAATATAAATATATTTTTAATGCAATTTTTGAAATTCACCCTGAGAACAATTGATTTTACACTCAATTTTAAGAAACTTCTGCCCAATATTAAAAAGAAAGGTTCCAATCTTGAACTGGACAATATGAAAATAGATCAATGTGAATGTCAATGTGAATGTGTAAACAGTGTAATCAATCAATGATATTAGTTGAAAGTTTTACATTGAAAATGCTTATTTGAAACACAAAATCCAAACTCAAATAATAACTTGCTCAACTTTGAGTCTTTGATGACACAATATTACATTAAAATGTTTCTAATTTGGCGATGTAGACAATAGCCTGAGCTGAATAGATCAAAGTTCTAACTTCTAACTTCAAACCAAGACAGACAGTCAACTTCACTCAGTCAAGACTTACCTTAGCCCATTGAAAAGTTGTTTGGATTTTTCAAGAAGGTGACAAAATTCATTAACAATTTTTCTCTCATGTTCATCCATGTCCGTCATATTTTGAGGGACATCGATCTCCTGACCATTTCTCATTAAAACGGCAAATGAGNCCCGCGTGCCGCTCATACATGTGCAATGTGCATGCCCTGTCTCTTATACACATCTCAAACATATAGAAAAGTCTTCAAATGCAAACAACATAATTTCCATTTTGTTATCAATCACATTATAAATCATGCAAACTATTACAATGTTATTCGTTCACAAAGTTGCAGACCACTTGTTTTATTCTGCTAGGATAATCTTTTCTTTAAATAACATCTTTATTGTAATGCATGTGCTTCATTAGGACAGCAAGAGCTCATAACGTATCTTTTAAAAATATGTTAATTTTTCAACTTAGGGTAAAATGGAATGTCGTGTTTGGCAGGTCATTCCGCAGTGCAATAGCGTCTGAGCTCTTCCATGAAGTTCCATCTGGCCACTGGCCAGTTGCCGCTCGGTAATGCAACGGGGTGGTTGTGATGTTTAGTTCTGCTAATATCAAAATTTATTCTCTACGGTGAATTACTTTGATCACATGAATGTTCTTCTTGTCAAAATCTGCTTGTAATGTAGAGTAATTCTCCACTGATTTCAACAAAGCTCAACTTTTCATACAAGTTATATTTTGACGGTCAGATAAATAAAAGTCAGCTTTCTAGATATTCAGGGTAAAGAAATGGGTCCAAAGAAGTTGTCCGACGAAAAAATAAAGGGAACAAGAATTAGGTCAAAAGAGGCTGACGGACTAGAACTAATTGTTGATGAATTTCGGTGAGTGATTTTGAACCATTTCAATAGCAGTAGGTACTAATCTCTCACTGCAGTTTCAGCCTCAGGTTATTTGGAAATACCTACCCCGCACATGGCGCACTCGCACAGTCCGCACTATTAGTCTCTTAGTCACATAATCACATTCCCCCAAGTGTTCAATTTTCAATTGACAGATGTTATTATGTGACACTGTCATCTCATCTGTGTCATGTGGTGATGTGCTGAGTGCTGACTACTGGCCTGGCCCAGCTTTCATTCAGCCTATTTACCCTATTAGACCATAGAATGTTATTCATCTGTTTTTAAACTGCTGCAAGTTATTTGCACTGCAGTTTATTAATTTGCACTATAGCTTGATGAATAATCACCATTACAATTGAAAAAAAAAACAGGCCAGAAGATAGCTGCCAGCTTAGAAGGCTTCTACTTAGTACTTACCATTGTAACTTTTTCTCCAGGATTGCATTTTTGAATCAATTTGAATTCTTGCATCTTAAGGTCAAAGGTGTAACTCAGGAGTCAGGACTCAGGACTAGTGTGGACACTGGACTAATTGTGACTTTTAAGGCTTTAAACTGTGACTAGAGCTTTCTTGCCATTTTAATAGCTGTAAGATTCCTGCTAGCTGAATAATATACCTCCTATCTATCCTCATACCTATCCTCACCATTCACCAAATTATAAAATATTTGTCACTTAGGAGTTGCAAGATTTCATTTCTAAGGATTAAAATTCTAACCCTATTCAGAGCCATAAAATTTTAGTAATAACTAATAAGTAGGGAAATTCCAATCCTTATTTTGGAGGAGTGTTTGTTAAGCCTTGATATATATAAACTTGTACCTTAATTAATATAAACTTGTACCTTAATTAATATTTGGAGATGAAAGACCAATAGGCTAAGACACAGAAGTTTAAAGCCTTAGCTAATGTCATTTCAGCTATTTGAAAGTTGAATGCAGGCTGCTGATATTACTCAGGCTTCAAAATTCATTTTATGGAGGTGGCGTTTGAAGAAAAAATAGTCAAAATTATAATTATAAATATAAAAAATCTTGCAAATGTGAATCTCCTTAAAAACTGCAATATTTTTTAATTATTTTCTGGTTGTTATGTTTTTTTCTGAAATTTGGTCTCTTGGTGTCAGCTGCAAATTTTGGCATTAAATAAAATTAATTTTTATGATGGTATTACTGTTTAGTCTTCTTTCTTTACACTTGGATTAAATAAGTACAACTGTACCTAATCTTGATACAGTTATCTATCACTTTGTATAATTATGCAACTGGTGTGACATGTGTTACCTATTCTAGCAAAAATGGTTCCTGTTCTTCAAATGACCAAACACCATAACACTTATGGGATAATTCATGTTTTTTTTAGAGAAAATACATTGCAAGCTTAAATTTTATTAATGAATAATTTCTTTATTAATGAATAATAATTTATTTTTTATTAATGAATAATTAATGGTTTTGGGTGTACATTGCAATTTCTATAAATCCATAGTTTTCTATGAAAAATTTCTAATGTGTTTCATGTGTTTAGGTAATGATATTAAGTGAGTGCTGTTCATTTGAGGTATCTAATGGCAACTGTACTTTCTGAGCAGCCAGGGCTCCAACTCGAGAGTGTGGTGGACAGTTTTCTCAGTGATCTGCATCCTTGCCATCGTGACTCGCTTCTACAAAGTCACTGAGCCTGATCATGTGGTGTGAGTTTACAAGCTACATGCACTGAAAACTAAATACTTATATCTATGAAACATGTGCCACATATATGGTTATTCAGTATATTCAGACTTCAAGCAACTGGGGCTCTAAGGCGATCGAGTGTCCACAACGGCATCACCCATGCATGCTCGGCATGCAGTCTATGGCTGTTAATCATAATCAAAATTATTGTCAGGAGCCGGAAATTGTAGTGAGCTAGCCTCTTGTTTATATTTCTCTCCTATTATAGCATATAATTACTAGCAGGTTGTAAACATTTTTAGAGGTCGTAAATAACGCCAATACTCTCCTTTAGCCAAGTTATTAGATGATCGCAGCTTATGATTCTAAATTTCTTCTATCAAAGTTTAGGAATGAAGGGCTCTTATTCATCTTCGTAAAATGAATATAAATTTTAAACATATTACGGTGTTCTTTGCGGCGCCCGGCATGACTTTATAAGATTTTATGACGAGCAATAAGTTTACACTGAAAATATATAGTGAAAAAAGTTTAGTAAATTAACAAATTTAAACAGAACGATCTGACGGTAATCTCAGAATAGTACCAAAAATCGTGCGTTTGTTCTGGTCTTCGAGATAGGATCGTAAATATTCTTCAGCCGCATCACGGCCTGCGCTTCGTTAAAAAAAAAACTCGGTAAGCAGAGACAAAAAATGTGAACTGTTCACCCGTGTAACTCCTAACTCCCCGTAACCCTAACGCGGTGCCGGCATCTAAACCAAGTTTATTTTCTGTACACCGGCTGTAGTTAGGAACTGAAGCTTTGTTTCCTAACTGCACGCGCTGGACTATCCAAAGAAATTCTTGATGTGTTCTAATTTATAGGGTTTTGCTTGCATATATCAATCGTAACTTGAGTTATACAGTATATAGCCTATTGCAGCATGTTACTCCATGGCGCTCCGATTGGAACATCATAATCCTCACATGTGCGAATAGTATTTTTAATGCTGACTGCTCAAAAAAATGAATTGTCGTATGGAGGCCCCTTGGACTGCGTTGTTTGGACTGCTGCTGGGCGTTGGATTATAGGGTGATGTTTCTAGCCTCCTCAGCTGCATAGCAACGAAGCCACATTTGCCGTTTTTTTACCTTCTTTCTTAGCCCTAATTCTCTTAGCCCGGGGCCCGCAAGATGTTATCAGGCACTACGCATAACTAGGAGTTGTTCTTCAAAATTATATGGACGTTATATATGAAGATTTTCTTTACGAGAAAAAAAAATCTTCAATTAAATGCGCAAATGGTGCAGTTCAGTTGATATCTATGTAATTATTTGTGACGTCCTCCATCTTTTATTACGTTTTTCTTTTTCTGGTTTTCCACGAAGATCGTGAGCTGCTTCTTCCCTTATTTGCATACTGTCACCAAGTGCCCACTTGCAAGCCCCCTCCCCACACACTCCCCCGTAGGAGAAACTGTGCCGCGTCGCCGTGAGGAACGCTAGGTAGAAAGTGAAGACGAACACGGTCCTGCAAAGCTGCTACTGCCGCCCGCGTGCCGCTCATACATGTGCAATGTGCATGCCACGAATCGCTCGAGAATCGTAATGCTCACCGATGTAATGTGCTCGGAATATGATAACATCAATCTACAATTCTACATCCACAAAGTCTAGTCTAATTCGACGACGCCTAGTCTAATCCTACAACGTCAAATCTAATTCGACAAGTCTAGTCTCATTCGATTACGTCGAGTCTAATTCGACTACGTCAAGTGTAATCCAATAACGTCTAGTCTAATTCGGCTGCGAGGTTTCGACATGACGCTTTCGAAGTCTACTTGTAAAGCGTAATGTCGTATTCGACTATGTCGAGTCTATTAGAGATGTCACTGATGCCTGTTGTTGTGGTTGATAATTCAGCGCATTATTTCACAGCCCTTACCTGTTTGCACAATGCACATACATTATTGATTTGAATTTCAGAGTATTTCAATAATTTCTCAATGATAAGGAGGTCGTGCTTTTTATATGAATCTGGGTAATGGATGCAGGGCTCTCCATGAAACATACATTTAGCGATATTTCTCGCGCAATTGTGTGGATTGGCAATTCATCTTGCCGTTTCATTTGATATTTCAACATGCTAGTCTCGATTTCTGGCGGAGGAATGAACGCTAAACACAATGTACTTTTACGGATATACTGACATTTTACATGAACCTGCGACGAGAGTGACTAGAGTTTCATACATCAGGATCATCGTAGACTAATATTTTAGTCCCACATATAATTTTTTGTATGTAATTAGTCAAGTCTAAGAACTCCTTTTTCCTTTATTTATACTCGCAATTTTGCTTTGAGGTACAAAGATCTCAGACGCCACATTCTGCAACAGAAGCAAGTCCCACTATAATCAAAATTGACGTTGCAATTTCATGGTTTTTACCTCCAATTAGCTGTTTATTCACATTAGAACCAGTTTAACAATTTTTTGCTCTGCCCAAGTAGATCATACAAGCCTTTGTGTCCGACTCTCGTGCGATCAAGACACAGTGTGATGCACCTCAAGCGAGTCTAGTTGAATTTTTTGCTCGAGTTCTACTTTTATACTTACTTTCCTCGGGTTCTAATTTTCTACTACCTCCCTCGGATTCTACTTTTGTACTACCTCCCTCGGATCCTACTTTTCTACAACTTCCCTCGGGTCCTACTTTTCTACTACTTCCATAGGATCCTACTTTTCTACTCGGGTTCTACCGTAAATCATCATAACGGCCTCGAACAATTAACATTCTCCGACGGCCATTTGACGGAAAGCTTCGCACTTTCAGCGCTGCACGGCCGCGAAACCGTTATCGGTCGAGCAAACATATAACAGAGGTTGGACAAAATAAGGGAAACGCCAGAGAAATCCGCAAAATATATTTTAGTATGGTGTAGGTCCACCTTTTGCGACAATTACAGCCTCGATTCTCCGAGGTATTGATACATACCAATTGTGAATTGTTGCCAAATGAATTTTAACCCATTCTTCAGTTAAAACTCTCTCCTGATCTTTTAAATGGCGACGGTGATTCGACTTTTGACTTGCTTCTCTAAAATCGACCATAAATGTTCGATACTATTCAGGTCTGGTGATTATGGTGGCCAAATGAGATGCTCAACTTCATTAGAATGTTCCTCGTGCCATTTTTTTAACAATTCCAGCTGTATGAATCGGGGCTTTATCATCTTAAAAGCTGGCGTTCCTCTCCGGAAACAGTGCTTGAACCATTGGATGAACTTGGTACTCCAAAATTCCTAAATTATCACGGCTGTTGATTCTTCCATGAAAAGAAATCATTGGTGCGTTGTATTTCCAAGAAATAGCACCCCAGATCATTACAGATCCCTGGCCATGTTATACGGTTGGGAGGAGGTGGCAGGATTAAATATCTCTTTTGGCTGTCTCCAAACGTAGACTCGGCCAGGGGTTGGAAATAAGGTAAACGATGATTCGTCAGAGAAAATCACATTCTTACACTGCTAGAGGGGCCAATTTTGGAGGTTTTTACACCATTAAACGCTTTGAAGCATTTGTATTTGAAGCAGGAGCTTTTCTAATTGCAGTTCTTCCATGAATTCCTGATCTGTGCGACTCTCGGCCGACAGTCTAAGACTGTCGACCATAAAGACCGTCTTTATGGAAACTGGGCTCTGTAGGTGTCAATTGAGGTCTGTAGTAATTTAAACAGCCGTGGTCTTTCGATTGTCCCTTACAATTCGATTTAGGTACAGACGGTCTGTCTCAGACAACTTCGTCTTTCGACCAGACCTATGCTCTGCTGAAGACGTTTTTCCTTCTCTTTCAAAAGCAGTCTTTACTTTTGAGACGGCACCACTATAGAACGTCAAGCATTCAGGAAGTTTCTGTCACACTAGCACCTGCCATACGGGCACCAACAATTTGGCCGCCTTGAAAGCCAGAGAGGTTTACCATATATTGGTTAGGTTATTGACACGAAAATTTACTAAAATGTTTATGCAAGAAAAAATATATGCGCAAATAATTTATAAGAGCCGCCTTGCCTCTCCATGAACACGTTCACTTGCAGTGCGTTATAATATTTAAATATTGAGTGCTTGTTCACTCGACTATTATGTGTCCTGGTATTCCCTGGCTAAATTGGAATTTCCCGTGCTTTGGTTTACGGTGATTCCTCTATGCATTTGCAGCGAAGTTAGACAGGTCATTCCTTGTATCAAGAGGCTTTGTTCGACGATATTAAGGAAATGAGCCAATGGGATGTGCTGGGTTCACGCTGTTGGACGGTAGAACTTCTGCTTCACGCACTATTGCACTAATCTCGTCAAGTGAATCTGTTAACTACACTAACATATAAAGCATTTCTCGATTGACATGACTTTGCTCCTATCATTCTTGGAAAAACTCTAATTTTTCTCCTTGCCAGCCAAAGTCAATAAACTTCTTGGACATTAGTGTTTGCTTCATTTAGAATTTAGTGGGAGAATGCTAGCAGAGATCTTATCCCTGAAGCGAAGTTATCCCATGCTCGCTCGCTCAGCTATTGCTGGAGACGACGGTCAGTCAATGTGCGCTGTCATGCAAGCTGGTGAAAGTGCTGAGGCTCGTACGTGTATGTCCTCAGTGCTGTGTGACGTCCTGACGTAACGTTTGCTGCATCACACTCTTATTAAAAGCATTGTAACGCACACACTAATTAGAACGTGCACTTCCGCCTCGCCATTGCGTACATCAGTTAAGCGCTGTGGCCAATTGCAAACACCAGCGTGTCTCGAAATATTGCACATGACATATTCCGAATTTGCATTGATTATTTTAAATAATTTTAATCAGCGTATTAATTTTGTTTGCATTGGAAGTTTCGGTTTTTAATACCTTTAAGTGAACATATATTATTTTTTGATGAGTCTTCATTATGTCCTTGTCCTTATGCTACATCTCACTTTTGAATCACCATCACTTACCCAACAAAATATTCCTTTATTTTTTAACGGCGTTACTGCGTTATCAATCATGATGATCTTATTTTCATCACAAAATGTTTAATATTTGTAATATTCATGAGATGCATTTATGACACACGCAGTTGGGACGAGACACATTTCGGCAAGTTCGGTAGCTGGTACATCAACCGGACTTTCTTCTTCGACGTTCATCCTCCTCTTGGCAAGGTAAGCTGCTCTCTCCTCTGCAAGACTGCTTGCCGTGCTGGACCGTACCGTCGTACATGTGAATAATGTTAACCCTGTTGCATCACCTGTTGGTACAGTCGATAAAATAAATCGAAGTGTTACTGTATTGCGAGAATTATGCTCTTATATATAACCTAGCAAAAGCTGAAATAACCGAATTTGATTGATAGTCGTCACGAACGCGCGTCATTTCATTTCGAGCCAACTGCGGTCACTCGCAGTTATAAGCTCGTTCTGCTAGAAGTATCAAAATAAACGTCAATTACTGAAGTTTCCTCAGCGTGTGCGCTGTATGGATAAAATGCATCGAAACGAGCGAGGATTGCTTCAAACTGCCATGTCCGTCTGTCCGTCCGTCCGTGACCTTAAGTTTTCGTCGACGAGAAAATACGCACTCTGTCACTCACTGCAGTGAGTACTGAGTTTTATTTTTTGCTTTATTATTTTCCTGCAATGCTCAAATTGTTTTTTTTTTAACGCTAGAATAGTTCAATTTAATCAGTGGTAATGGCACTAGAGAAAATCATAAAGTTTATTCTCGGGTCATATTAAGTAGGTAACGGAATAGTAAACTAATGTGTATTGATGAAATGTTTGTATTTAAGAGTTATAAGCCCAGTTCATATTAACTGGTATTGAAAATTTCTTCCGAAGGGAGAATTGTAATGCATAATAAAACTAGAAAGAAAGGTTTGGATTGAGAATACAAATTTGATTTTAAATTTAAATTAATTGAAAAGATGCAAAATAATGTTTTTAAGATTTTGAAACGAGTGTTAAATGGGTAGTTAAAGGTTCTATATAAAATGTGGGTATGGATGTGGTTAATTATCATACATTACATAGCTTCATTATTAAATAAATTCAGGATAATTGGATTTAAAATGAAAAATTCTAAAATCGAAGGAATTATAGTTGTCGGACAACGCTGGAACAACCTGCTAGTCGTTTATGTATATGTTAGTTTATGTGTTTCCATTCTATTCTGGTCTAAACTTCTGCTGGTCACACACGAACTACCGCTTTACAATACCGTAGTGCTCCATTGTATATATATTCTAGACAAATCTTTTACTTGTGACTATTATTGAATGAAATAGATAGAGACACATATGAATATCTGATGTACAAATTCTGTCCGAGAAGAAATCTAAAAAATTGATATTATTTGTTATGGTAACTTGTGCTCACAAACGAAATACCGCTTTAAGTTAGTGTTCCATTGTATAATTTCTAAACGGATCTTTTACTCGTGACTATTGTTGAATGAAATAGATAGAGACACATATGAATATCTGATGTACAATTTCTGTGTGGAAAGAAATCTAAAAAAAGGATATTATTTGACATAACTCGTGAACATAACTGCAGTGCTGCACGGCAATGGGCGCGTCGCTGGTGCCGTTCTCGTTCATGACGCTGTGGGAGATGACGCACTCCCTGCCTGCTGCCACCTTCGGGGCCGCCCTCATCCTCGCAGGTAATACTGCAAATTATTTACATATTTTAGTAGGATTACTATTATTCATCATTATTTTTATTCATTTAATTCAACTGTTAAAAAAAATACATTAGTTTGCCTGTCATTCACTTGCCGATTATGGAGCCTTGCTTGTGCCTGTCGGTAATCTTCCACATTATTCAGCTATTGTTCAAGAATATTCACAACCACGTGCATAATTCAGCTAAAACTCGCATAAGATTATCTGTCATTCAATTGGCGATTAACTCGATTCTTGTAGCGATGATAGTTTTTGCACCCGTCCGTTCGCTATCTGTAACCTGACAGTGTTAGAACGATGAAATTTCGTGCTAGGAATAAACTATAATGTAAATCAAATGCTCGTAAAGTTCTGTCGGTCATCATCTACTTTGCTGGTCATTTTGCTGTAAAAATTAAGGCTTGAGATTTCATGAAAAGAAATATATACCAGTTCTAATGAATTTGTTAGCATTCTTTCTCGAAGTGAGATGAATGGAAATCTACATGAGTTGTAATGTTAGTATTCTAGTTGAACCCTCCCTGGTAACGTTGCACTATGAAACGAAAACCGTGTCTCAATAATGCGTTTAGCTCATATAATCTGGAAATAGTGAATCGCTAGGCTTTTATATTCTTTTCGTGAACCCTAGCACTAAGTTGTTCCAATCTAGTGCTGTTTTTTCGATATAATGTTAGGTCTTGTTTAGGTTTTATGTCTGTCTTTGAATTTTGACTTATAAAATGATTTTATTAATTTTTAGTTTAGTCGAACTGATGATAGAGCTGGACTCCGAAACGTTTTCAATATCGATACGGTGAATTTTCTTGGCGTTTCTTTGCTTTTAAATTTCTTGTGAACGTTGCACGTGCGTTGAAGACGGAGGTTTCTTGACGCTGACGCAGTACATCCTCCTGGACCCGCCGCTGCTCTTCTTCATCATGGCTTCCGTCGCCACGGCCGCGAGGTTCAATTCTTATCGAGACAAGTGAGTTACTTCTTGTAAACATACGGTAATAAGAAAATTTGGTCCCTGGTTTTTATGAAATAAAGTTCACGTCTGTGCAATTTTTTGCGTTCACTAATTGATACTGATTATGTATTGTCCAAATTGCGAATCGCTTCTTGCCCTGGTGTGTGTCATCCAGACCACATTTTATCCTGCAAAATGATGTTTCAGTGCTACGTACAGAAAGTTTGTCACTATTTGAACGATATGAGCCATTAATTTTTCTGAGTGCAGAATGTTATTTCATGACTCGTGTTACATCAATTACACAGAGCACTGAGCATTAAATTCGTCCTCTAGCGTTCCACCTCAAAGCCTTCATGTAGCAATCAGTAAGAAAAATAAGCTCGACCTGAAAGTTGTCAGTGGAAAGTAAGAATTTATTAGTATAATATATATAACTATTAACTAATAACTAATATATATTAACTATTGAGGTTGTTTGTCATATTTTTTTCTTTTGTTTTATATTACAACAGACCATTCAGCTTGGGCTGGTGGGGCTGGCTGCTGCTGACCGGAGTGTCTCTGTCAGGGTCTGTGAGCGTCAAGTTTGTGGGTCTGTTCGTTGTGCTCTACGTGGGCTGCCACACCATCGCCCAACTCTGGCACATCTACGGCAACCTCAACAACCCTATGGTCTCTACATAGCCACTATTTCAACTAATGTTTAGTAATGTTAAGTTTTGTCTTGGTTGCTGCAGCTTCATATCATCACCTTTCCAAGTTTTGTCTACCAATAATTAGCTTTTCTTACGGTCTGGCATGCAGCGCCCTATCTTGACTTGAGTATTTTAACTGACTTGAACTAGAAATTATGCAAGACGGATTTTAAAATTGTGAAAATTGTAGTATGACAAGGATTCACTAAACTCTTTATTGTTAATTGTCCCTTGTATGATACAATAGGTTTAATTTGTTGCCGCAGTCGTTGGTGCTGAAGCACTTCGTGGCCCGCGCGTTGTGCCTCATCCTGCTGCCCATTGTGCTCTACTTGGTATACTATCATCACAATGCCAAGTTTTGTCTCTTGGTTGCTGCAGCTTAATATCATCACAATGCCAAGTTTAGTCTCTTGGTTGCTGCAGCTTAATATCATTACAATGTCTAGTTTTGTCCAGCAATAATTAGCTTTTTTTACGGTCTGGCATGCAGCGGCCTGTCTTGACTTCAGGACTGACTTGAACTTGAAATTCAGCAAGACGGATTTTAAAATAGTGAAAATTGTAGTGTGACAATGATTCACTAAACTCGTTATTGTTAATTGTCCACCGTATGATAGAATTGGTTTAATTTGTTGCCGCAGTCGTTGGTGCTGAAGCACTTCGTGGCCCGCGCGTTGTGTCTCATCCTGCTGCCCATTGTGCTCTACTTGGTATACTTCTACATCCACCTCTCCGTGCTCAACAAAACGTAACTTGATAAATACTCCGCGTTAGCTTGAATGAACTCTTCGTTTCTATTATACTTACTGTTAAATTGGAAATTTTTCTAATGAATGCATTTGAGGTTATTGAAGGTTCTTTTTATACTCAGTGCATTTAAGCATGAAGAAAGGCATGAAGTTCAAAACGGAGAAGATGTTCAAGAGGACAACCAAACTTAAGTCCCCCAGCCAGAGTGATGAATTTACTTTTAAAAGTTTTCTCTTTTCTATCGGCTGTCTTACTAGCTATAATCGTTAGGATACATTGATAATATAGATGAGAAATTTCACTGCCTAACTAAAGGTCTCATTATCGTATATGCTGCTATAAATTTTATTTTGTGTGTCAACAACAGTGGCAATGGCGACGGTTTCTACAGTTCGGCATTCCAGTCACAGCTTGAGGGCAACCCGCTGCACAATGCCAGCATGCCTCTCGGTGGGTTGTTCACCACACCATTGATGATTATATTATTGTTCAAATTACTCCTGTGTAATATTGGAGCTATTATTAATCATAATATTAATTTCATATTAATCATATCATAATATTAATTTCTTCATGATTGGCAGGGTATTGTGATCTTGTGTTCTTCATTAGTTTAGCAGTTGAAAAGAATCATGGCACTAAAATAAAGAAATAAATACCATATTTATGAAGTCTATGGTTTGTCAGAGCTGGCATATGGCGCGGAGATCACGCTGAAGTCTCAGCGCAACGGAGGCGGTTACCTGCACTCTCACCTGCACCTCTACCCTGAGGATAAGGCGTATGCTCACCAGCAGCAGATCACCACTTACTCCCACAAGGACATCAATAATAGATGGTCAGCTCAGTGCAACAATTGCACTCGAATACTAGCAAATTTAACAATTTAAGTCCATTGTCTGTCTTGTGGTCATTGTTATCTTGCTGTAGTGTTGGGTAATTTTATCACCATGTACGGTACCTAACACTAATGTAACTTTATTGAAATCGGTAGTAAATTGACTATAATGTATTATGATGAAACTTCTTTATTCATTGCGCTGTGTTATGAATGAATATGGACTTGCATCGTAACAACGTGGTTTGTCTTGATCAGCAAAAAAAATCTTACCTTTAGCGATCATCCGCATTCATAGAAGTAAATCAATCACCTTCAATTACAAAATCTACCCATGGCCGGCGCTTTTTGTTGATTTACTTTCGATCGCCGTTGTTTGTTGATTTACTTTCGATTGCCGTTGTTTGTTGATTTACTTTCGATCGCCTTTGTTGATTTACTCTCAATCGCCGTTGTTTGCTGATTTACTTTCGATCGCCGTTGTTTCTTGATTTACTCTCAATCGCCGTTGTTTGTCCCCCCACTGTATATTGTAAAAACGTGGTTTGTCTTGATCAACAAAAAAAGCTTACCTTTAGCGATCATCCGGATTCATAAAATAAATCAATCACCTTCAATAACAAAATCTACCCATGGCCGGCGCTGTTTGTTGATTTACTTTCGATCGCCGTTAGTTGTTGATTTACTTTCGATCGCCGTTGTTTGTTGATTTACTTTCGATCGTCATTGTTTGTTGATTTATTTTTGATCGCCGGTGTTGGTTGATTTACTTTCGATCCGTTGTTTTTTAAATTACTTTCGATCGCCGTTGTTTATTTATTTACTTCCGATCGCCGTTATTTGTTGATTTACTTTCGATCGCCGTTGTTTGATGATTTACTCTCAATCGCCGTTGTTTGTTGATTTACTTTCAATCGCCTTTGTTTGTTGATTTACTCTCGGCCGCCGTTGTTTAGGATCGTGAAGAAGGCAGACTCAGAACCTCTAGACTGGGACGACGAGAAGGAAGTTCCGGAGATCGTGAGGCACGGAGATCTCATCCGCCTGGAGCACGTGCCCACGGGGCGCAACCTGCACTCACATGCCTTGCCCGCCCCTGTCACCACCAGACACTACCAGGTCACCGGCTACGGAGAGGTCTGTAACTATTTTTTTTGTATTGCTGAATCACAAATTGTAGCAGACAATGTTATTGTAAATAGACTAACTTTTGTAACTAACATCGATGGAATAATAGTGTTAGTTTTCGCGGTTAGACTAAAATTGCGGAGTTAGTACGAACGGTTTGTGTAAAATAACGGTCTTAGTATGAACGGTTGGTGTAAAATAATGGTGTGGTAATGGTCTCCACCAGAGAGAAAAGTTTCGATTAAGTTTCATTCTACAAGCTGATTTAAAAGAAAGAAAAAACATCATTTACTGATTGTTCGAAATTTTCCGCCTTCAATGGACGGATATTTTGTGTCGAGAAATGTCAAATTACCGTTTAAAATATTAATCCTGCCATATGTCCGTCAACTTCATGTAAACCAAGTATATTGATGCATTCTTAGTTATTGGAGTTTGTATTTTAAATCACGTATGCGGTACTGCCGCGTTATTGACGTTTGTATTTTAAATCATGTATATTGCCGCGTTATTGATGATTGTGTTTTAAATCACGTAAATTGATGCGTTACTGAAAATTGTATTGTAAATCACGTATATTGACGCGTTATTTGATTTTCAGAACGGACAAGGCGACCTGAACGACGTGTGGCGCGTCGAGATAATGAACGGCAAGACCGGCGACTCCGTGAAGACGCTCGTGAGCGTCCTGAAGCTGGTGCATTCTCAGGTGCACTGCGCCCTGCACTCCTCCACTAAACAGCTCCCCAAGTGGTATGCTCACTCAGCTTATTGTCCGTCAGTCAATCTAGAATCTATATACTACAGGGTTAGTCTTGACTACTTAGCTTATTGTCCATCAATCAATCTAGAATCTATCAACTACTAGGTTACACTTGATCAACTTAGCTTATTGCCCATCAATCAATCTAGAATCTGTCAACTACACGGTTACTCTTGATCAAGTTAGCTTATTGTCCATCAATCAATCTATATTCAACTACAGGGTTAGTCTTGATCAATTTAGCTTATTGTCCATCAATCAATCTATATTCTATCTGCTACAGTGTTAGTCTTGATCAACGTAGCTTATGTCCATCAATCAATCTAGAATTTATCAATTACAAAGTTAGTCTTGATCAACTTAGCTTATTGTTCATCAATCAATCTAGAATCTATCAACTACAGGGTTAGTCTTGATCAACTTAGCTTATTGTCCACCAATCAGTCTAGAATCTATCAACTACAGAGTTAGTCTTGATCAACTTAGCTTATTGTCCACCAATCAGTCTAGAATCTATCAACTACAGGGTTAGTCTCGATCAACTTAGTTTATTGTTCATCAATCAGTCTAGAATCTATCAACTACGAGGTTAGTCTTGATCAACTTAGTTTATTGTTCATCAATCAGTCTAGAATCTATCAACTACGGGGTTAGTCTCGATCAACTTAGCTTCTTGTTCATCAATCAGTCTAGAATCTATCAACTACAGGGTTAGTCTTGATCAACTTAGCTTATTGTTCATCAATCAGTCTAGAATCTATCAACTACGGGGTTAGTCTTGATCAACTTAGCTTATTGTCCATCAATCAGTCTAGAATCTATCAACTACAGGGTTAGTCTTGATCAACTTTGCTTATTGTCCATCAATTAGTCTAGAATTAATCAACTAAGGGTTAATCTTGTAGGTTTATGTGCATTGTTCGATAAGAGACGTGTGTTTGGTGCTTCTACTGTGTATTTGCTCCTCGTTTTTTGCCACGCTCAAGGCCAACGATTGCACCAGCTTAAAGAATGTTTCTAGCTTGGATTCAAAGTCGAGATGCTGTTTCAACTGTCAAGTCTTAGTATTCCTGTACTCTGTAGTCTGGAGGATGGTTGTGTGCTAAGCGGTTGGCATGCCGGTCTAGCGGAAAAACCGACGCTATCAACAAATGTTCGACGCTCACTGACTGTTCTTCTTCTCCCGTAGAACGAAAGATTAGCCAATGGGGAGATTCGTTTGATGATTTAGCTCTATAAAAGTAAAATCACTAAAATCTGCATTCTAATAGCTTAGTAAAGTTGCTTAATTTCTACGTCGTGCTATAACGTCGTATCTATGGCAGGCTTTTCCTCTACTTTATTTTGATTAAGAGACGTCGTTTGTTATACTCATTTACTTTGCTTAATTTTGTTTAAGACCTACATGTTGTTTCGTGTGTTGTTTATATGTAGATAGAAATTATGTTGCGTTGCATTCTGGATCTCATGAGGATTGTGTGGCAGGGCGTACGAGCAGATGGAGGTGACCTGCAATCCCAACCTGCGCGAGGCCGACAACACCTGGAACATCGAGGACAATGTCTACCCTAAACGTGAGGACCTTTATTCCTTACTTCTTAGTTGTTATTTGTTCTAACCCTATATTATGCATATATTTATTAAATTTCCATGGTCCGTGATTATTCTCTGTGAGTCCACTTTCTGTGTACCGAATATTTTTATTACGTCTACCCTAAGCGTGAGGGCCTCTAGTGCTGCCACAACCTTCACTTGTGTTGCCACCACTCGTTGCCATACACGTATTTGTGCTGTTGTTTGCTGTACTAACTATTTAGAGTTCATGTACTACATTCGTTGCTTCTTTGTTAGTTATTCTTTGTTATATTCTGATATTGTATGTATATTATATTCTCGTCTGTGATTATTCACTGCGAGTTCACTTTTTGTATAGTATACCGTTTACCATATTTTTTTAATTTCACTGTTCTCTGTGTTTTTCTGCCTAAAATGATTATTGGTATTGTGGCTGCTGTCTAATTATCGGTGAGGAAAACGATAACTAAAGACTTCACTCCAATTTTCACGAGTATTTTTTTCAGTGCCGAACAGCTCGTTCGAAATCTACGCTCCGTCGTTCCTGTCGAAGTTCCTGGAGGCCCACACGGTGATGTTCCAGGGCAACGCTGGACTCAAGCCCAAGGAGGGCGAGGTCACGTCACAACCCTGGCAGTGGCCCATCAACTACAGGGTTGATAAAATGCATCGAAACGAGCGAGGATTGCTTCAAACAATGCCATCACTAATTTGTGGACATTCAGTACTAGTTTCGTATATATTGAAACAAAAATGCCATGAATATACAATTAAATTATACTACTCAATGGATTATTTTGGAGCTTGCGGCTAAAAATATCCATAACTAATTGGATTGCGAGCGATTTTTGTTGCTGGATGCGACTATGTTTGCCATGACCACGCGAGATCCTAATTGCCCTTTGTGTTGCAGATGTTGATCGGAGCGTTCGGTTACATGACAGGCTACGACGGGGCCTTTGATTTCATCAAGCCTGGGGACAAGTACGAGAACGTCAGCTACGTGGGCATGAGGGTGGTCAGTAGCTGCCTTATTTTTTGCGCTTTGTTATTTTTCTGCAATGCTCAAATTGTTTTTTTAACGCTAGAATACTTCCATTTAATAAGTGGTAATGACCCTACAATAAATCGTTATGTTTATTCTCATGGCATAAGTAGGTTACGGAAAACTAAAGTAGTTATGTAATGATGAAACATTTGTTTTTGAGAGTTTTAAGCCCACTTTCTATTAACAGGTATTGAAAATTTCTTTCAAAGGGGAGAATTGTAAAGCATACGTGATGAAACTAAAAGGAAAGGTTTAGATCGAGATTACAAATTTGATTTTAAATGGATACACCCATGTATGTAGGTACTAATTTAAAAGACGCAAAATAATTTTTAAGATTTTGCAACGAGTGTTAACTGGCAGTTTTATGTTCTATATAAAATCTGAAAATGGAGGGGTCTTCCTTTAATTATCGTACATTAGCTTTATTATTAACTAATTTCGGGATATTTTGATTGAAAAATTCTAAAATTGAAGGGATTATAGATGTCGGTCTACGGTGGAACAACCTGCTAGTCGTTTATGTATATGTAAGCTTATGTGTTTCTATTCTATTCTGGTCTAAACTTCTGCTGGTCACACACGAACTACCGCTTTACAATACCGTAGTGCTCCATTGTATATATATTCTAGACAAATCTTTTACTTGTGACTATTATTGAATGAAATAGATNCCAAATTGCGAATCGCTTCTTGCCCTGGTGTGTGTCATCCAGACCACATTTTACCCGACAAAATGTTGTTTCTGTGCTACGTGCAGAAAGTGTGTCATTATTTGAACGATATGAGCCATTAATTTTCTGAGTGCAGAATGTTATTTCATGACTCTAGTTACATCAATTACACATTAAATTCGTCCTGTAGCGTTCCACCTCAAAGCCTTCATGTAGCAATCAGTAAGAAAAATAAGCTCGACCTGAAAGTTGTCAGTGGAAAGTAAGAATTTATTAGTATAATATATATAACTATTAACTAATAACTAATATATATTAACTATTGAGGTTGTTTGTCATATTTTTTTCTTTTGTTTTATATTACAACAGACCATTCAGCTTGGGCTGGTGGGGCTGGCTGCTGCTGACCGGAGTGTCGCTGTCAGGGTCTGTGAGCGTCAAGTTTGTGGGTCTGTTCGTTGTGCTCTACGTGGGCTGCCACACCATCGCCCAACTCTGGCACATCTACGGCAACCTCAACAACCCTATGGTCTCTACATAGCCACTATTTCAACTAATGTTTAGTAATGTTAAGTTTTGTCTTGGTTGCTGCAGCTTCATATCATCACCTTTCCAAGTTTTGTCTACCAATAATTAGCTTTTCTTACGGTCTGGCATGCAGCGCCCTATCTTGACTTGAGTATTTTAACTGACTTGAACTAGAAATTATGCAAGACGGATTTTAAAATTGTGAAAATTGTAGTATGACAAGGATTCACTAAACTCTTTATTGTTAATTGTCCCTTGTATGATACAATAGGTTTAATTTGTTGCCGCAGTCGTTGGTGCTGAAGCACTTCGTGGCCCGCGCGTTGTGTCTCATCCTGCTGCCCATTGTGCTCTACTTGGTATACTTCTACATCCACCTCTCCGTACTCAACAAAACGTAACTTGATGAACACTCCGCGTAGTATTAAACTCTCCGCTTCTATTATACTTACTATTAAGTTAGATATTTTTCTCGTGACCACATTTGTTATTAATTTTTTCCTATTCAACGCTTTATTAGAATTTATGTGTCGCTGCATAACAAATTGTAGCAGTCATTAAATAGACAAAGACTTTTTAAACGAATGTTACTTTAGGTTATTGACAGTTCTTTTTATACTCAGTGCATGTAAGCGTGAAGAAATGCTTAAAGTTCAGAACAGAGAACATGTTGAAGAGGACATTTCCGTCCTGCAGCCATGAGTGATGAACTTACTTTTGAAAGTTGGCTGCCTTGCCATCGGCTTTTCTTACGCTTACTTGCGAGCTATAATCGTTAGGTTACATTGATTATCTAGATGATAAATTTCACTACCTGACTAATGGTCTCATTAATGCTGTATTCGCCGACATACTCCATATGCTGCTATAAATTTTATTTTGTGTGTCTAC